GGGAAAGGGGGGGGGAGGAGGGCGGGGACCGGAGGCCTGACCCGGGGGAGGGGGTGAGGCCGGCCCCGGGGCTGGGCCACAGGTGGGGGAGGGCTTTGATCTCTCCCCACCTCCACCCCCCCACCTCACCCCGCAGCTCCCGGGCCCCGCCCTCGGGGCGCACCTGGGCGGCCCCCGTGTGTGTGCGCGGGGCGGGGGGGGGTGAGGGGAGGACCGGGCTCCCCTCCACAGGTGAGCCGCGCCCGCCCAGCGATCGGTCCCCCCGATCGTCTGGGACGCCGGGAGGAGCAGAAGTTGGACGGGCGGTGGGAGGGTGGGTCCAGGGTCTCGGTGGCGCCGCCCTCCGCCCACCCCTCCCCTCCCCCTCCCGGGGGCGGTGCACACCTGGGCAGACCCACTTCCGGGGCGGAGCCGGGAGCCCCGCCCTCCCCAGCCCCCCAGGCCCAGCCCTTTTTAATGCCTTGTGTACCTGGGCGGATCCATTTGCCCCGGAGGCGCAGGGGGTGGCCCGGTCCCCCAGGACCTCTCCCCCCCCCCTCCCGTTTCTTTCCCACCCTCTCCTGAAATAAGCCTGGAAACTTGCGGGTGCCCCGCCGCGTTTCTCTTTGTTGAAACTTTTTCCCAGGGCATCCCGCCCGGGGCTCGGGACGGGGGAAGGGGATCCGGAAGGGAGGAGCTGGGCGCCCCCCTCCCGGCCTCGGTGCGCCCCTCCCGCGGCCTCGGCGGCCTCCCCTTTCCCCCTGGTGACCCCGCTTTCTTCCCGGTGCCCGGGACGCGCCCCGCAGGTGGCGATGGCGCCGCGGCCCGGCACGCACTGCTGTAGGCCCGGCTCCCGCCCGGCCGCCGCCGTCCTCCTGTGGCTCTTCCTGAGCACCTGCTGTACAGGTATGGGGGGGCTCTGTACAGGATGGGGGGCCCGGAGGCGGGGGGGTGGGCCGGGGAACTTCCCAGGGACTCCGCACCCGAGGAGGGGAGTTGGGCAGGTGAGGAGTTGAGGGGGGGGCGCAGAGTTTGCGCCTCGGATCTGTTCCCTCCACCACCTCCAGGAATTGTGGGGGTCCTCCCCCACCCCCAGCCTCTCCCACAGTGTTCCCAGAGGCTGCAGGAAGTTCAGATCTGGAGCCCCGAAAGCTGCCCGGGTTTTAGAGAGAGAGTGTGGGGTGCTTTGTGGAGTAGAAGGGGTCGGTCACACAAAAGGCTGTGGGGTTGGGGGAGAGGGGCTCTCAGGCGCACCCCGGGGTTTCCCAAGTGTTGGGGTAACGGGGAAGAGGCCGCCAACCCCACCCACCCCCGGGCTCCGCGGGCGTCCGTGTAGTCCCCACCTGATGTGGTATCTGTGCGTCAGTCGGCCGGGAAGGACCTCTGGACCTGAAACCAGCCCGCCCGCCTCTCCTCTGGATCCTGTGTCGGCTTGAGGGAGGGAAGGGGGAAGTGGGGGCACATTTTTCTTTGTCTAACAGAAAGCGCATTTAGGGGTGCGTCGGAGCTGACTTCGGGTGGCGCATTGGAAGGGGGAGGCTGAGGGAGAGGCTGGGGGCGGGCTAGGAACTGGGACCACAGAGAGGAGGGGTGAGCGGGCTCAAGGCACTGTGGGATGTGTGAGATGGATCCTGCTCTGTGTGTGTGTGTGTGTGTGTGTGTGTGCGCGCGTGTGCGCGCGTGCGTGCGCACGCACACCACGCCTGGGGCTTGAACTCAGGACCTGGGCATTGTCCTTGAGGTGTTTTTTTTTTTTTTTCCATACAAGGCTGGTGCTTTGCCACTTGAACCACAGCTTCACTTCCAGCTTTTTGTGGCTCTTGGGAGATAAAACTCTCACAGACTTTCCTGCCCAGGCTGGCCTTTATTATTTGCCAGTCCTGGGGCTTGAACTCAGGACGTGGGCACGGTTCCTGAGCTTCTTTTGCTTAAGGCTAGCACTCTACCATTTGAGCCACAGGGCCACTTTTGGCTTGTTTTGTGTATGTGGTACTGAGGAATCGAACTCAGGGCTTTATATGTGCTAGACAAGCACTATACCACTGAGACACTTTCCCAGCCCCTGGCTGGCTTTGAACTGAGATCCTTGGATCTCGGCCTTCTGGGATGACAGGCAGGAGCCACAGATAACCAGGCTTGACAGGCCATTTTTTAGCACCCACGGGGACAACGGATCCTGAGGATTAAAGAATAATGGATGCTAAGTGCTATAGAAAGTCATTCCCAAGTGTCAGGCAGGTGACAAAGCATCTTACTCACTGGTATTGAAGTGACTTCCTGATCTCTCAGCCCCCTCTGCTGGTGTGTGTTTTTTTTTTTTTCTTCTCTTTTTGTTGGACTTGCACTCGGGGCCTGGGCACTGTCCCTGAGTTCTTTTGCCCAAGACTAACTCTCTACCACTGAGCCACAGAACCACTCACGGTTTTCTGGTGGTTCATCGGAAATAAGAATCTCAGAGACTTTTCTGCCCGGGCTGCCTTTGAACCTGGCTTTGAACTACGAATCCTCCAGATCTCAGCCTCCTTAGCAGCTAGGATTGCAGGCGTGATCACCAGTGCCCATCTTGATGTTTGTTTTGTCCTCAGTTCCAGCCAGCGCCGTCCAAGTGACTGTGTCGGACCCGTACCATGTGGTCATCCTCTTCCAGCCGGTGACGCTGCCCTGCAGCTACCAGATGGCCGCGTCTCTCACGGCGCCCATTGTGATCTGGAAATATAAGTCGTTTTGCCGAGACCGCATCGCCGATGCCTTCTCCCCGGCCAGCTCAGACAACCAGCTCAACGCGCAGATCGCGGCCGGGAACCCCGGCTATAACCCGTATGTGGAGTGCCAGGACAGCGTGCGCACCGTCCGGGTAGTAGCCACCAAGCAGGGCAACGCGGTGACCCTGGGGGATTACTACCAGGGCCGCAGGATCACCATCACCGGAAGTAGGTGACCCCGGGGTTGGGGTGGCATGGGAGGCCTTCTGGGGATCTTAAAGCCACTTCTGGCTTTTTTGTGGTTCATTGGAGATGAGTCTTACAGACTTTCCTGCCCGGGCTGGCTTTGAACTTCAATCCTTAGATCTCAGCCTCCTGAATAGCTAGGATTACAGGCATGTGAGCCACCCGTGCCTGGCTTCTCCATGCCAGCGCCAGCGTGCTGGAACTGGCTCCCTGCTGGGCACAAAACTGCAGAGCTGGATAAGGCTGGATGTTAGGGGGAGAGGCAGGGGGTCCTGCATTGTCCAGAGCCCTCAAAGGGTCTGGGTCTTCCTCACTTTCTGGTGGGAGCTGTGCCAGAGGCCGTGCTAGGTAAACAGCCATTGTGTCTCTGCCCTTTTCCGGAAACCCTGTAGCCATGATGTTTCCTCCTCTTCCACTTTCATTGTGGAGCAAGCACTTATAAGTGCTGTCCCTAGAATCGCCCACCATCTTGGCTTTAAGAGTAAAATTCGCCTGTTCATCCTAGGTCCTCAGGAAGCTGAGATCTGAGGGGTCACGGTTCAAAGCCAGCCTGAGAAGAAAAGTCCGTGAGACTCTTATTGCCCATGAACCACCAGAACACCAGAAGTGGTGCTGTGGCTCAAAGTGGTAGAGGACTAGGCTTGAGCAAAAGAGCTCAGGGACAGCGCCCAGGCCCCAAGTTCAAGCCCCGGTATCAACAGCAAAATGTTCACATAATTCCAGGAAAGTCAAATAGTGTCTTTCCACTCAGGGTGGGTCCTGGCCCCCCTTCTGTAGTTGTGGGGTACCCATGACTTCAGAGGCTCTGTATCCACTGACTAGCACTGGAGTAATCTTGGTACCTCTGAAAGTATGAGGTCCACCTCTCACGTGTGGAGGGAGGAAATTAGAGCCTGGAGTCGTGGGGGCCTCATTTCTTCTGTTCCTCTCCCAGACCAATATCTGTTCCCTGCGCTTAAAACAACTGCTTTTGTCAGGAGCTGGTAGCTCACGCCTGTCACCCTAGCTGCTGAGGAGGCTGAGATCTGAGGATCTCGGTTCAAAGCCAGCCTGGGCAGGAACAGCCATGAGACTCTCACTTCCAATGAACCACCAGAAAACCGGAAGTGGTGCTGTAGCTCAAGTGGTAGAGCCCTTGCCTTGAGCTGAAGAGCTGAGGGACAGCGCCCAGGCCCAGAGTTCAAGCCCCAGGAACGACCAAAACAAAACAACTGCTTGTGAACTTCAGAGGCAGCTCAGGGAGCAGGAACTGGGTGTCTCCCTTGCAGGAAGGATAGGGGCTCAGGATTGAGCCAAAGAAGCTCACAAGCCATGCTTTACACGGGGGGGGTGGGGGGGGTGGGGGGGAGTGGAGGGGTGGGGGGGTGGGCGTGGGTGGCGCGCACACAAAAATACCGTGTAGGCCAAACCCTGATGCGTGAGACTTGCAAAAATATTGCAAGACTTCCTTGCTTGGAGACTGGGGTTGCTGTCAGGTCTGAATCATTGCTTGCTGTTGTGTTGCGGGGGGCAGGGGGGAGTGAATGTAGAACCTCATTGGCACCCCCCCAGCTAGGGACAGAGTAAGCTAGAGATAGCATGGCAGCCAGGAGAGCTCCCCCGTCTCTAGCACATAGTGCTTGCGGCCAGTCACCTCCCGGTGACCTCCCTCCACCAGTGCCATGGGCCCATCACGGCCCAGAGCAGAAAATGCGGGCGATCCAGGCCACGGTGCCCTGTGCCCACTGACAGGCTGTAAGAGACCCAGGTGGGAAATGAAGAGGCCAAGGGGGTGCTGCAGAAAAATCTGGAGTATGGCAGGTGCCAGTGGCTCATGCCTGTCATCCTAGCTACTCAGGAGGATCATGGTTCAGAGCCAGCCCAGACAGAAAAGTCTGTGAGACTTTTTTTTTTTTTGCTAGTCCTGGGGTTTGAACTCAGGGCCTAGGCACTGTCCCTGAGCTTCTTTTGTTCAAGGCTAGCACTCTACCCCTTGAGCCACAGCACCACTTCTGGCTTTTTCTGTGTATGTGGTACTGAGGACTCGAACCCAGGGCTTTCATGCATGCTAGGCAAGTACTCTACCACTGAGCCACATTCTCAGTCCCAAATCTGTGTGATTCTTAACTCTAATGAGCCACCCAAAAGCTGGAAGTGGAGCTGTGTCTCAACTAGTAAGAATGCCAGCCTTGAAAGAAAAAAAGCTCAGGGACAGCGCCCGGGCCCTGAGTTCAAGTCCCGTGATCAACAACAAAAACAAAGGAAAAACAGAAAAAGAGAGTGGTTCTGACTCTGTGGAAATGGCTGGGGTGGTTTAAGTCTTGTCCTGGATCTCCCCACCCCCACTCCGCCTGGACCTAAGGCAGAGTCACCAAGCAGATGCCATCAGCCCCGGCTGGTGCGCTGGAGACATTTATCTGATGAGGGCGTGAGGAGTGGAGAGGAAGCCGGATGCACTGCAGGACTTTCATTAGCGGGGTAATGGGCAGGCTCGCCTGGCCCGGGGCTGCCGCGGCCCTGGGCGTCCCCAAGCCCAGGACTGACCTAGAATGTGGGGACAGAAAGGGAGGGTACAGCAGGAACTCTGGGAGACTCCTACGCTTCACCCTTGCTGCCCTCCCCGCCCATTTGCCCATCTCCCTGTTATCTGGGACCTGACCTAGTTCATGCTGTCTCCTTGCTGGGAACTCCCTCCACCCCCCAAAACTGGCTGTGTGTGTGTGTGTGTGTGTCTGTGTCTGTGTGTGTGCGCACGCACCAGTCCTGGGGCTTGAACTCAGGGCATGGGCACTCTGTCCCTGAGTTCTTTTGCTCAAGGCTAGTGCTCTACCACTATGAGCCACAGCGCCACTTCAGTTTTCAGGTGGTTCATTGGAGATTAGAGTCTTACTGAGGTTCCTGCCTGGGTGGCTTTGAACTCTGATCTTCAGATCTCAGCCTCCTGGGTAGTTAGGATGACAGGTGAGAGCTATTGTTCCCATGCACCCCTCCTACCCCCAGCTAGGTTTTTTTGTAATAGTTCAAGTTCATTGTCTAGAAGCAAGCCTACTTGGTTCCCTATTTATTTTATCTTATTTTTTTATTGGTCATGGGGCTTGAACTCTGGGCCTGGGCGCTGTCCCTCAGCTCTTCAGCTCAAGGCAAGGGCTCTACCACTTAAGCCACAGCACCACTTCTGGTTTTCTGGTGGTTTATTGGAGATACTAGTCTCAGGGACTTTCCTGCCCAGGCTGGCTTTGAACTATGATCCTCACATCTCAGCCTCCTGAGTAGCTAGGATGACGGGCGTGAGCCTCCGGCGCTCGGTGGTTCCCTATTTTTAATTTCCACAGGATTCATTTGAACAGTCAGGCCGTATCCTGCCTCTCTGGGCTGGGCGTGCGTGTGTGCGTGTGTGTGTGTGTGCTGGGAGGCTCAGGCCCTGTTTGGAATTGTCCCCCTGAACCCTCAGATGTCCTCACCCTGTCTCCTTCCCCCCCAGATGCTGACCTCACCTTTGAGCAGACGGCCTGGGGGGACAGCGGGGTATATTACTGTTCGGTGGTCTCAGCCCAGGACCTGGGTGGAAACAATGAGGCCTACGCTGAGCTGATTGTTCTTGGTGAGTGGGGGCAAGGGCCCTGGGGACAGGGCCTGACTTCTGTCCATTCCTGTCCACTGTCTGTCCTGCGGCTCTTTCTCGCTTTGCTGCCCCCTCCTGGTGTTGCCAGTCACTGGGATTCTGTGTTAGCCAGCACCCCAGGCAGGGTCCCCTCCGTCCACCAGCACTGTCAAGGAGATTCTGGGGAAATCACCCCATTTTATGCAAACGTGTGATCAGAGTTGATCCTTATATGGAGGGGGTTCTGGCACCCCACATGTCTCAGTCCCCTGGATGAAACAGGGATGGGTTTGGGTGGTGGTGCCTGTAATCCCAGCTACTCTGAGATCTGAGGATGGCCGTTTGAAACCAGTCCAGGCAGGAAAGTTCATGAGACTCTTCTCTTCAATTAAGCACTAGAAAATTGGAAGTGATGCTGTGGCTCTGGTGGTAGAGTGCTAGCTTTGAGCGATAAAAGCCCTAAATTCAAGCCCTGGCACAAGATAAGCAAAGTAAAATTGGGGCATTTATGTAAGACCGAACAGATCCTCTTGGAAACTTTCAGTCCTGAGATTCCTTCCATTCCCGATACAATGTAAACACAAAGGAAACAGTTATTACAATGTATTTCTGGAGGGGAATGGGGTGGGAGCTAGGCTCAGGCAGGAAAGCCCTGCCTAGCAAGTGTAAGGAAGTTCTGATCCCAGTACCAGAATCCCCCCCACACCTCCAAATAGGCTGGCACTTGACATCCTACCCACTCAAGAGGCTGAAACCTAGAGGACTAAAGTTCAAAGCCAGTTAAGGCAGAAAAAAAGACTACATCTGCAGCAAAAATGAACTAGCAAAAATGCTGGCCTGGAAGCATGTCTCAAGTGGTAGAGGCACAGGATGTGAGGAAAAAACGCTGAGAATGTGAGGCCCTGAGTTCAAGTTTCTGTACCAGAAAAGACAAAGTTCAAAGCCAGCTTGGGCTGCATATGGACTTGGTGTTCAAAAAAAAAAGCTCTGTGTGTGTGTGTGCACATGCGTGTGTGTGTGTGTGTGTGTGTGTGTGTGTATGTACTGGGGCTTGAATTCAGTGCTTGGGTGCTGTCCTTAGCTTTTCTGCTCAAGGCTGATGCTCTATCACTTGAGCCACAGCTGCACTCCTGGCTTTCTGGTGGTTCATTAAAGAATCTTAATGGACTTTCCCTTCCAGGGCTGGCTTTGAACCTCAGTTCTCTAGATCTCAGCCTCCTAAATAGTTAGGATGAGAGGCGTGAGCCACCAGCACCCAAAGTGTTTTCACACCCCCACACCCCCTGCAGTGGAGGGCTGAGGGCAGACCTGGGAAGAGACTGGCGCCTTCTGCCCTGGCCCAGGGGCACCATGCACCACACCTACACACACACAGCAGCTTTGCTTTTGTCCTCTGGGTACTCGGTAGATTTTTTTTTTCTTTTGTCTGATGTGGGGCTTGAACTCGGGCCTGGACGCTGTCCCTCAGTTCTTCAGCTCAAGACGAGTGTTTCTACCACTTGAGCCACAGCGCCACTTCCTGTTTTCTGGTTGTTCATTGGAGCTGAGAGTTTCATGGCTGTTCCTGCCCAGGCTGGCTTTGAACTGAGATCCTCAGATCTCAGCCTCCTGAGTAGCTAAGTAGCTAGGATTACAGGTGTGAGCCACTGGTGCCCAGTTCTTTATTTTTTTGAGGGGGGTTGGTTATATGTGAAGGATTGACCCCCATCCTATTACACCAGATAGGCGCAGACTGCTTGATGCAGGTGGGACATTCCACCTGGCTGTACACATCCCATTGTGAGCCCAACCGGAAGCCCCCACTTCCCCAACCTAAGGGCTTTTTCAATAACCTGTCTGTCTCCTTGCTCAGATCCCATGAAAGCCTAATTCCAACCCCACCTCCTTGCACAACCTCGGATCCCGTGGGAAGGCTGTGACCCCTCACTGCTCCTCAAACATTCCTAGCCTGTTGAGACTGAGTACCGTCTTTCTACTAACGTGCAATTTGTCTAATACACCGGAAATTAAGCAAGAAGAGAAGTCCAGGCGCCGGTGGCTCACGCCTGTCATCCTAGGTGCTCAGGAGGCTGAGATCTGAGGATCGCGCTTCAAAGCCAGCCTGAGCAGGAAAGTCCATGAGACTCTTTATTGCCACTTAAACCAGCAAAAAGCCAGAAGTGGAGCTGTGGCTCAAAAGTGGTAGAGCGCTGCCCTTGAGCCAAAGAGTTCAGGGGTAGCGCGCAAGCCCTCAGTGCAAGCTCCAGGACTGGCAACAAAGAAAAACACAACAGCCGGGCGCTGGTGGCTCACGCCTGTAATCCTAGCTACTCAGGAGGCTGAGATCTGAGGATCGCGGTTCAAAGCCAGCCCGGGCAGGAGAGACCGTGA